ATGTATTCATTTATTCACTAGGTTTTAAAAAAATTCTTAAACTGTGAAATATTTAGAAACTCATAGGAAGTTATAGAGAAAAGCGTGGGGAGGTCCCCGTGTCTCCCAGTCCTAGCTGCTTACACAGCTATCGTGTGCTATCAGAACCAGAGAACTGGACTGGCAGAAGTCACGGAGCACATTTGGATGCCAACAGTTGTGTGTGTTCGCGCGTGTGTGTGTGTGTGTGTGTGTGTGTGTGTGGTCCCTATGAAGTTTCATCACATGCCACACACACAGGCACACACACACATGGGCACACACAACGGTGGACATCCAAATACGCAGTCAAGACCGAGCTTCACGGTGACCACAGCCTCCTGGGCTACTCACAGCCACACCCACTCCCTGCTCTCCCCATCCTGACCCCTGCAAGTCACTAATCTGTTCTCCATCTGTATAATTTGATTGCAATTGTTTTATGGAAATGGAATCAGACAGCATCCCATCTCCTTAGACTGGAGTAAAAAAAACTTGTGGAGCACAAGGCCTCCCGACTCAGCTAAGCTGTTATACTAGCAAGTGAGTAGTATTCCGTGCTGTGGATACCTTGCGGTCTAACTATGGACCTACTGGAGGCCATGGAGGTGGTTCCCAGTTTGGCCTACCACAAATAAAGCTGCTGTCTGTCTGTGGACATTCTTGTTCACACACCTTAGCATGAACAGGAGGAGTTTTGCTTTCTCCAGAATAAGTGTCCAATGGGTTACTGGGCAAGTCTGACTTGAGTTTTATAAAATGGCACAGCTATTTTCAAGTCATTTTTTATATTTCCACCAGCAATGGTGAATGAAACAGGTTCTCAGCCTCAGTGCTGGCAGTGAGAGCTGTTACTGCTTTTTCTTGCCCGGTTTGATGGGGTTAGACCCACCTCAGTGTGGTTGTAGTCTGCATTTAATTGATGGGTAATCACATCAAACATCTTTCAATGTGCTTATTTGCCAGTTGTATAAACTCTGGTGAAATATCTCTTCATGGTCTCTTTGTCCATTTTCTAACTGGATTGCTTGAGGTTTATTTTTACTTTTTTTGTTGTTTTGTTTTGTTTTTTGGGTTTTTTTTCTTTTTATTGAGTTTATAGGTACAATCTAGGTATACAATACAGTTACATTCATCATTGGGATCCTGTACCTTTACATAATAGGTCTTGATTCTCATTTTTTCCCCTTGTCTCTGCCCTCCCTTCACCCCCTCCTCCCCTCCTCATTTACAAACACTTTATTTCCATTTTTTTCAATTTCTCACATTTTTTCCTCTCCCTTATTACCTTTCCCCCACTATTTTTACTATTGAATGTCAAGAATTCTCAATATTTTAGATGCAAGTCTTTGTCAGTTACTTTACTTTTCATCCTCTTAAGAGTCTTTCACAGAATGAGCACTTTCAATAATGATGAGGTCCAATTTACCATTTTTTTCTTCTTGATAGCTTTTAGGCCAACAGGGACTTATTGAATATCTACAATTCATCAGGATAATTTTCCAGGCACCCTGTAGTGATCAAAGAGGTGACACGGCCCTGACATGGAAGAGGAAAAGATAACACTGTTGGCTGAGAAGTACGTGGGGGATAAAGTTTTCATTTCAGGTTACAATTCCGGGTTAAAATTATATTTTTTACACAACTGATATGTATAGAATCTTGTTTGCAAAACAATTTCACACACATTGCATCAATTGATAAAAATCTCACAAGACAGTGGTGAGGATTGTACCATCTTTTATGTTGGAGAATCGAGGATTCAGCTAAGCCAAGTCACTGGCCAAAGATCATATGGGCAGGAGGTGATTAGCTCAGACCAGCACTACAGTCTTGTGAGTAATGCTCTTTTAATTCTACCCAAAGTCCTCCAAAGGCATGTCCTGTCACAGCCAGTGTAAACTCATCCATCTTCTGGCTAAGAAATGAACTGTCTGATTTCCATCTTAAAAGAGGGTGTGATTCGGTTCCTTATGTGCACAAATGTCAGATGGCTCTGTGATAAAGGAAGAATCCATGAAAGCTCTCACAGTGGCCAAGACCACATAGACAATGGCAAGACAAGCACTGGTCACGTTCCGTGAGCAAAGAGGGGTGGATACTCCCGGACTTCAGCAACGTGTCACCAGATGACTGGTCAGGATGGCAGTGGCATTGCAAGTCCTCTCTTGCTATGCCCATGGGTGCCCAGATCACCCTCAAATGCCAAACCTTTCATGGAGTACATCAAGAAATACCAGAATCAGCTCTGGCAAAGTTGAAGCAGTGCCTGTTCCTGACCTAACAGACTACACACAGATGGGGAACTGGAACTCAGACTCATATGCCTCTGGGTCTTCATCAGACCTCTTTTTCTGCCTTACTTGTGACCTTGCTCATATAACCAGTCTACATTCCTGTCTTGGTTTTAAAATGTTTACAGTTAGGTAAGATGTTAGGACCTTGATCCGGGCCATGAAGAGGCAAGTTTATGTATCAAACAGGCTTTGCAAATGCCTTTGAGGTGCTAATAACCTTTGAACACAGCCTGGTCCTTCCCATGAGGTAGCCTTGCTAGACACATGTGAAGTAAACTGGACCCTCAACACTACCAGGCTGTGGCCACTGCGGACACCAAGGTCATCACAAGGCATGGACAGGCATCTCCATGGGGCTCATATGCTGAGAGGACACATGTGCAGGAGCATTCCGAGTGTGGTGCATGTATTGCTGATGTCTCCAACCACTGTGTGCATCTCGTCATCCCTGTTCATGCTCAGTCAAAATCCCGGGAAGGAGGAGACCTTGTTCCTAGATCCTGACCTCTGAGTAAGGAGGACAAGTCGTCCTGCAGCCACCAGAGGCCACTGGAGGAAGGCAGCTTAATGCCACAGCCATCAGAGGAAAGGGGGCACCAAGGCTGCAGCTCTTCTACTGGACCAGGTGTGCCTGATGCTAGCCACACATCTCAACTATTTCGGTGAGCCTATGTTTCTTTGTATGCCTAAGTTGGCGGTATTCTTTCTGTCTATTTCCAGGTACTACCACAAAACACCCAAGGATGTGAGTGTTAGGAAGGAAATGGATCACTCAGCTCACAGTTCTGAAGGTCAAGGGCATCACACTGACACTGGCTGGGGTATGGTGAGGATGTCCCTGGCTGTGTCACACCATGGAGGATGGTGTCATGGTGGGGGCACAGGAAAGGGACAGACCACAGTGAGACCAGAGGCTGGCCAGGGGGGCCAGCGTTGCTCTTTTTATAACAGTGCTCCCTTGGGAATGAACTTAGCTCCCCCCTAAAATGAATTCCTTCCCAGGACAGCCCTACCAGTGGCCTCCCAGCAGGCCCTAAAGGTCCCACCACTGCTTGACTTCCCACACTGGAGACCAAGCTTCAAACACAGGAGCCCCTGGGGGACAAGCTATTCTCAAGCCGTGTGGGTAGGTTCCTGCTATGTGTGACGGAGAGTCCTCAGGACCTCTCCGTCATGATAGGGACTGGTATGCGTTTGAAAGGAGGGAGAGGGACAGAGGGAAGAAGGATGAAAGAAGGGAAGGAAGAAGGAAAGGAGGAAGGGAAGGGAGGAAACACCCCGTGATGACAGGGAATGTTTCCGTGACACCTCGTTTAGGAAAAAGAAGGCTCTGGTTTGTTATCATTTGCCCTTGTTAAATCCAAGAATGCAAAAACAGTGGTCCAGCTCCAGGAACGAGATCTCTTTCCCGAGTGCACAGAAAGTCACTCAGGACATGTGCAGGAGTGTCCAGGTGGATCATAAACTTACCGTTTTTTTTTCTTTTTCCCATACCATTTTTGTTTTAAACAAATATCTTTGTGCAGTGCTTCACTGGCAGCACTTGGTTTATCCATTAAGAATACAATGTCCTGGCAAAAATAAACAACAAAAATAGGCAGGGACGTGACATAGAGTTAAAACAACAGGGGAAATACATGTGGTTGCTATGCGTATATAAAATCTCCAGCTCATTTTGAATAGGATAAAAGCAAGTCCAGCCACGGAGGCCCCCGTCAGACTGGCGCTGGTCAGAAAGTGGGGTAACACACTCTGTATGGGGGAGCAGTGTCAGGGCACAGGAAGTCCTCACAGCACTGGGCTGGGGGGCTTGAAGACCCCGAGTTGGTTCCACGGCTAAGGAGAGGCTGGGAGCCTGCGGCTGGACAGTGACAGCGTCTCGCAGAACCCCGGGGCCATCGTCTTCCTGCTCTGGCCAGGGCCTCAGAATCGCCAGGCAGCCGTGGACAGGAAATCGCACGTGCGGCTGTGCGTGAAGCCCACACCTCAGATGCATGTGGCTCTGACCCCAGGACTCCGGGCCGGGATTCGAGGTGCCGGTGCTACCCATGTCACCGGCAGGCGGGAGCAGCGTGACTCGCTGAGCCTCGCTGTCAGGGTGGCCCATCTGACCGGGCCGGGCCTCCGGCGCAGACTAACATGTCTTACTGGGTGGACACCGCTAGGGTGAGCAGGTCGGGAGCACCCTCGGGACTCTACCTCAGCATCTTGTCCAGGAGGAAGGGCGCCCGTGCAGCGCAGACCCGAGTGTGTTCCGCAGATTTTCCCTCCGTGGATGCCGACTGGCCCGCGGGCAGGTGGACGGCAAGGACACAGTGGGGAGCTGTGCCCGCTGTGCACATCCTGTGGTTGGAGGATGTGCAATGCAGACGCCAAACCAGCATAGGCAAACCTGAAGCGGGATACAAATCAGAGAGGAAGCTTCCTCCCCTTACCAGCCCTCTAAGGGAGGAAGTCAGCCCCTTCCTTTCCAGGCTGCCCTCCGAAAGACTGCTTTTCCTTCTTCCTCATGCTGCCTTGGCGTTTCCACGCACACAGAGACTGGAGGGGTCTAGGCACACAGAAGTCGCCCGGAGCAGCCCAGAAAGCTTCGTGCTGGAGTCTGCGGAGCCTGCAAGCCAGATCCATCAGGTGCTCAAGCCCACCGTCCGCACCGCGCGCAGTCCGGGATCCCCGCGACAGAGGGTGCCAGGAGGTTCAGACCCAGCGGCTCACGGAGTCACCGGGGTTCAGGTACGGGACAAAAGGGGCGCTGACACCCAAAACTGCTGCGTTTCTCTGCGGGAATAGAGATGCAGACTCTCGCGACGGAGGAGCTGGAGTTCCACCCGCGCTCCGGATCGCACTGTGTGGGGACCTCGGAGCTCTAGGGAGCGCCAGTCTCCAGTCCCGGTTCCCGCTTCAAACCCACCCCACTGTACCC